CTGCTTGTCCCGGTCAGTCCAGCTTGTGCCGGAAGGCCACACAGCAACTGGACCATGGGGGCGGAGGGGAGCCTCAATTCTCTGGCATTGTGCCATCGAAGAGGCTACCCTTCAAAAGCCCCCTGGCCTGGAGCCTATTGTAAAGGCTCCGCGGAGGTGTCACTTGAGGTGGCACCCCTCCAGGCTGCTGGTGTGTGATTCACTCTTCCCCATTGTGGGGAGAGCGTCCGCCATCACTGTTCCATAGACCAGAAGTCCTCCTGCTATTTTTCTTGATGGCGAACACCACTTTGTCACTCTAGCTAGCATTCCCAGAAAATGGCTAACTGTGTAGGGAGCACCTTCCCTATGAGGAAAGGCCAAAGAGTCTGTGACTTTCCATTTAGAAAAGATATGACTAAGGGAGGACATGATAGAGGTTTTAAAAATTATGCCTGGGGTGGAGAGAGTTGACAAGGGGAACTTTTTCTTCCTCTCCCAAAATACTAGAACTCGAGGGCATCCAATGGAGCTGATGGGCAGTAGGTTTAGGACATACAAAAGGAAATACAACTTTACATAGAGAGTGATTAAAATGTGGAATATGCTGCCAGAGGATATAGTGATAGCCACAGGAATAAACAGCTTTAAAAGGGGATTAGAGAGATTCATTAGAGAGATTCATGGACAGTCTATTGATGCCATGGTGACTGAGGGGAACCTCTACATTTAGGGGCACTAAACCTCTGAATATCAGAGGCAGGAGGCAACATCAGGAGAAGGCCTCGGCTTCTATGGCCTCTTGTTGGCCCTCCAGAGGAACTGGTTGGCCACTGTGTGAGACATGATGCTGGACTAGATGGACCACAGGTCTGATCCAGCAGGGCTCTTCTGATGTTCTTTCCATACCACCCATCTGTCTCTCCCCATCTTGATTGCTTCCTAATGAAACAGCACAGCGAAGGATTATCTGCAAACAGCCAGTTGTTTGCCCATCTGTGCAATACTGACTGTGCAAGCTCCTGCCCCCACCACAGAAAAAAGTCTAGTATTCAGATCATGGCACAAACCTGATAGAAAATATGGAAGTTCCTTTCCTGGGGGGCTTGATAGGCAACTCTGGTTTTCTCCAGTAAGAATGTCTGAATGGAAGCACTTGTTAGATGCTGAGATCTGAAAAAAAAGGTTAGAAGTTGTTGTTGTTATTACAGATGACAAATCCTTGCACAGAATCGGCATCCATCTTAAGAAGCTAGTGCCTAGCCCTCATGGTTTCAATAGGGCTTGGGCAAACTCTGAATTGCATCCACTACATGTGAAACTGCCTTGTACTTCGTCAGAACATCAGTCCATCAAGGTCAGGATTGTCTGCTCAGACTGGCAGCAGCTCTCTAGGATCTCAGGTGGAACTCTTCCACATCACCTATCCAGTGGAGGTTCAGCAAAGGATAGGCAGGGTCAAGACAACTGTGCCCATTGCAATTCCCTGAGCATGTTCTCATTGCAGACTGATGTGCCCCTAGACAGATAGCTGTACCCATCGGAAGTGATGCTAATGAGCTTTGAGACAACACCGTTCTCCTTTGAACTCCAGTAATACCTGTTCAGTTGAAGCTGGATGTACTTCCCAAAACGGCTACTGTTGTTGTTCCGCAGAGTGCATGCATTTCCTGTAAAGTCAGCCAGAAAAGGGAGATGGACGAAGGCAAAATTTCCGACACATTAATGAAAAGAGAGTTGGACTAAGTCTTCCACTTAGAAGGAAAACGCAGCAGACGGTCTTAGGGCCATGACATAACAAGACAAGACTTTGGAGACCGACATTCTGTTCTGCCATCTTTTTGCTTCTGAAATGGAATCTGGTGTTGGGCGCGTGTCACTTCCCTGATTTAAATAGCCTTGTTCAAGCCATTTCCCTGATCTAAACAGCTCCCTCTCCCAGTGCTGGTTACCACGATAAGGAGAACATAGTTTTCATTAATGCATTTATATAAAACGTTTTAAATGCCATGGCATTTGAAACATGGACCATTAAAAACCCACTTATCTAAGATGTAAGTGACTGAAGATGCTGCTGACGGGTTGGAGATCTGTGTGTGCCATGGCTGAGAAAACAGTATGGAAAGACTTTGCAAAGGGAGTCCCCAAAGTACACCGACTCCTAGCGCTCCCTGCCCTGCTGGGGGATCGGGGCACTTGGCATGTCCAGAAGCTCCTCCCCGGGGTTTCCAAGGGCGGTGGAGGCTGGCCGAGAGCAATTCCCACCGCTGCCAAGCATGCCCCCTGCGCCACTGCCTTCAACTCCCCAGCGCTGCCGCTGCCGCCACCACGTGCTGACCTGCGGCCGCCGGGCAGACACGGAGCCCCTCACTGCTCGGCCCGCAGCCGCCTGGTCATGCTGCTGCCCAAAGTGGAGACGGAAACCCTGGGACTTGCCCGAGCGAATGGGGAACGGGGCCAGATCCCAGAAAACATGCAAGGTAAGGCAGGTGGGAGGGGCAGTGGCTTGCGCGCAGCCTCCCCCCCCTCGAACCCAGCCACCCGTGCCCAGGTAGGGGACCCGTGCCCAGCCGCCGCCACCCTCAGGCCCGCCCAGGCTCCTCCCTCACTCCCTTCCTCCAGGGAAGAATCAGCAGAGGGGGCCGGGGGCCAAGCAAGGGAGGCCGCTCCGCCGAGGGGGGCGAGGGAAGGGAGGGAGGAAAGAAGGAAGGGCCCCCGCCACAGCTCGCTCGCCATGGCACTGACCTGCTGCCCTCGGTGGCCGCCCTGGCGCATCCCTGTCTCGGTCCCGGCCGTGCAGATGCCCCGAGGGATTCCCTTCCTGGGTAGCCTTAGGCTACTAGCCTCTGTGGGAGTAGGCGCCACAGTGGCTTGCACACAGCCTCCCCCCTCCAAACCAGCCGGCCGGATCACCGAGGATGCGCACGGTGGCGGTGGGGGGGAGGAGGCGGTGGCAGCAAAAGGGAGGTCTCCAGGCCCCATTGGGAGGTTGGCATCTGTGCCCCGCCTAGAGCGCAGAAACACCTCGGGCCGGCCCCGGCTGGACTGGAATCTCACCAAAAAGAACAGTAAGTTCGTGTCATGATCTGGGCTGTGCCACCAGAGGCCTACTAGGACCAGGGAGCCTGGCTAGCAGTAAGGGAGGCTGGGCCTACCAAACCCCATAAGGCCTTGGGAAGTTTTGGTGCCGATTTTGACCAATAGGGAAGAAGAGGGCTGGGGAATATAGGAACTGGTACAAGAGGGAAAGCTGTTCTTCTTCCCAGGGAACAGAGCCAGAAGGGACTGAGGCTGCTGTGAGGAAGAAACCCTCATCCTGAGGGGAGGGTGAGTAGTCTAAGGCCACTTGATAGTGAGCTAGGGACACACGTTAGGGCATTTGATTTCTTTTCATCCACTTACTGTTATTATTCTGCACCTTGTTTGTTTGACCTCCTATAAAATAAACTATTTTCATTGTTCACTCTGCCTGGTCCTCACGCCTATTATTTGGCCAAAAAGGGAGGTCTGAAGGCCTGGGAGGGTGCTCTGGGCCTTCTCAGAGGAACCTGGAACCAGAGTGGTGGCAGCGTCAGGTGACATCCCACCTGAGCCGTGACAGTTGGAAAAGCAGGTATGTGGAAGTAAAAATGAACCAGAGAGGCGACATATTAGAATGGTGAAGTCATGTAGGCTAGGCGGGATGTGCTGTGATTGAAAATAAATAAATAAGTGACCTTGAAAATAGAACTAACTAGTCGGATCAACCCATGCCAACTGCAGAAAAAAGATATTAAGAAGTCAGGTTCACTGGAAAATTCTGTGTTCAAGATCTAGTTGTGCATGCTTATCTGGGGGACTGCAAATGTACTTGGGAGAGGTAAACCCCCCCCCCACCCAAGATTTTGCTTTGCTGACTCTTGCGATGGCACAATAAGAAATTCAACAGCTCTGGAAATTCCTTCAGCATCTTTCTTTGACAGGTGCTGCTTCAAAAAGTTTGAAAACCAATGGGATCATGTTATCACTTCCCCTTTTTCAGTTCCCCTCTTCCTCTTCACTATGGGAGATTTGAGGCTGGAAAGTCCTTGGGGCACAGACCGGTCTTTGTTTCCTCCTTGGTACAGCACCGCAGTGGTTAGTGGTGCTAAAACAAAATTATAACTAGCAAGTATCAGCCAGAGTGTATTCTGCATGCATTCGTACATGCTTACCAAAGGCTTCCATCACTGGGTTAGAATCCAATACTCTCTTCTCTATCCTTTCCACATCAACGCTGCCTTGGGAGGCGGAGGGCAAGGAGGCCACAGTAGCGTAAAACTTCATCAGGCAACGTGACGTCCATGTCTGGGAAATCAACCAGAAACAGGAGCCGTTGGCTGCTGCTCCTTCAGCAAGGTGTTTGCGTGGGAGGGAGACAGATTGCTTTGAACAGAGGTCATACGAAGAGGATTGATGCTGAGACAAGCTGCAGCGCGTCCATGAGGTAAACTATCAGGGGAACTGGCTGGCCTGCCCTGAGCAGCCAAAACGACAGATGTCTGGACTGTAACATCCACAAGGGGGGAGTGCACTTTTATTTATTTAGAATATTTTTATGCCACCTTTCCACCCAATCAGGTAGGGTTGCCAAGTCCCCCTGGGGGGCGGGGAAACTCCCGCCCGAGAGGCCTATTTCCCGCCGGCGGGGATTGGGCTGCCGGCGGGGACCCCACCCCCAAAGCGCATGACGTGCCCGGCGTGAACATATCACCTGGAGGTGACACAATCATGTTGGGCACGTTGCGGGGGGACGTTCTATCATCTGAGGGAAAACTCTATGGTTTTCCCTTGGTTGATTGTGGCCCTGCCCGCAACGTGCACGACGCGGACTCCCCCGGCTATTACAAAGGTAGGACTTGGCAACCCTGCAATCAGGGTCCCCAAGGCAGCAATTATAAAAAACATTAAAACATTTGAACATTCAAAATGATAAAACAATGAAATAAAATACTTAAACAAACAGCGCCAGAAGCTGGAAAGAGGGCCAATAACTGTTATTGGGGCTATGCCAAATGAAACAAAAAAGTCTTCACCCACTGGCAGAAGACACCGATAGAGGGAGGCAGACGAATCTCCCTAGGGACAGTTTTGGTGTCATGGCTGAGAAGGCCCTTTCTCGGATTGCCACCTGTCTAGCTTCTGGACAGTCTTCAAGGGCAGCTCCACAAAGAGTGCATTCTCCTTTCACGCTTCCATATATAACCTGATCCCTGCATACAGAAAATGAGGACGTCAGGGAGTGGGCTATGCTAGACCTTCCTCTTTGATGGGCTGGATTACTCTGTGCATGGGGCTGAATCCCATGGATCTACTGCAGATGGGCTTTCGCTGGGAGAAGGAGCCTTTCACTGATGCAAAATGTCTGGTGTCCTGTGTTTGGGGAGGATCCTTCTTCTGGAAGGAAGTACCTCCACCAGCAGGACAGATCCACAGGATGCAGCCCACAGGGCTTTTTGCAGCTCTAAAAAGCATTTGATTTTTACACAATGAGAAAAAGTTTGGCCTGCAGAACCATTTGTGCATGCAAGCTGCCACCAGAGGGGCACGCATCCTGCCCGAGAGGTGTTTTCAGGAAGCTCTTCCCTTACCTTCCCTGCACCGCTTTCACCACTAACAATTATGGACTGGTTCACTGGCAGGATCTGGCTTTTGACATTCCGGTAGGTCTCTTCAGCCACCGCAAAGATGTGAGGTTTTAATTCCTAGAAGATCAGAGCACACCAATGACATTTGGAGGGAAGGAGGACACTGTTGGATGGAACTGAGTAGTAGTTCCCTACTTCTTAAGGAGGAGGAATTAAGACTTTTTGGACCAAAACCAGGATCGGGTGAGGGCAATATTATAGAGCCTAAAGGAGTGAGCCAGAATATCCCCCTGTTCAAATCTCACTTTTGCTATAATATAGTCTCTTTCTGCATCAACCCTCTATCTGCAACACAGGGGTAACAACATTTGATCCACCTTTGTTGGGTTTTTGCTGGCACGGGTGGACCTGTGCTTAATACCGGATACCTTATTATAATCTAAAGCTGACTCGTTGCCATATCTTAGGCCCCCTTTCACACAGCCTTTGTCATCCATTTTGGTAGCCAGCTGCTAACGGATTTTTACTTAGGCTTTCAGACACAATCATTTTAGCAACTGGCTGCTAACGGATTTTATTTACCTTTTCATACAAAGCCACTTGCATCTGGTTAGCAAAGCGCAGTTGAGCCGTTCTTGAGATAAGCTGCTTTCTTCCAGTTTCACCTCTTCTTTGTGCTTCTGAATTGCCGTAGTGTGCTGTTTAAAATGTCTGCAGCCCTTCCAATAGAGCTGTGCTCCCCTCCATCCTTTTTCGCCATGCGGTCTTCCTCCAACTTTTTTGGGGAACGTTCTAAGCTGAGCGCTATAGCACTAGAGTCCCATAGGTTCCCAAACTTATTTGGCCTACTGCCAAAAGGCTGCTTTAGATAGGTTCTGGACTCTTCTTTCTTTATGCTTCCACCGCCCCCTTATTTGTATTCAATGCCCCCCAACTGCACCCAAGGCTCTGACTGCGCACCTTGATCATTCCGGCACCCTCAGGGGGCGGTACCGCCCAGTTTGGGAACCAGTGCGCTAGACCAATGGAGCCCTTCAGTGCTACAGTGATACCATTGAGATGCCTTGACACCACTATATTGGTCTATAGCGCTCAACTTAGAATGTTCCCAAAAAAAAGTTAAAGGAAGATCGTGCAGGAAAAAAGGGTGCAGGGAAAAGTGCAGCATTGTTTGAAATGGCCAGATTGCTTCAGAGACAGCTCATTAATGGAGTTAAATTCGCTGTATGAAACCCCTGTCTCTGTATTGGTTTACTTGGAATTGGACCAACAATAGATAACATTGAACTTAGAACAGTAATGTGAAAGGGGCCTTAGTTTGAAATAATCTAGAGCTGGTTTTAGATCAGTGAAAATCAGCCGCTTGATAGGGAGGGAAGAATCTTTAATTTAGAAACTGGCAGCTGCTTAGGGCTGCGCGTGTTGCCAAAGTTGCCCCCGGGTGGCCTGGGGTGACTGCATGGGCCTGGGTGACCCAAGGACAGCAGCTGCACATTTCATGCAGCATTGACATGGTGCTCTCAGTATTGAAAATGCTTCTTGTATGTTATTCATTTATTTAAGCACTTATATCCCGCCTTTCCTTGTGGCTCAATGTAGCTTACAGGAACAGTTAGAAACATTTTCAGTTAAACTCAAAACAAAATAACCCTAACCCAAAACAAAATAATCCTAACCCTAACCCTTCAGTTAAACTCAAAACAAAATAACCCTAACAAAATAACCCTAACCCTAACCCATTCAAGTCTCCTCACTAAACAAATATTGGTGAAGTTGCCCCAGGTGAACAAGGTTAACTGTATAGGCTTGGCATTGGGAGACTTAGCATCTCCAAATGGTGCTGGGCCTTCAGGTGGGCCAACATTCTTAGCAGCCCCCACCCATGCCAATCCTTGACACTGCCCCCCCCAGACAACAGGGAGGGATTGGAAGTGGCCTCCGTGTGAGGGCCAGAATGTGAAAACTTTATTTGTGGCCAACCCCCTCTTTGTCTGAGATCTCAACAAGGTCATTTTTGTAGGCTGAGAATGGCTGTACCCAGGGGTCATTTCCTGCAGGAGCACACAGGAGCTCCGGCAGTAAAGAGCCCAGGGGGCGGGCACATGCAACAAGCCCCGTCCCCTGCTTCCAGCAGCCCTGGGCCATGAGGAGCATGAAGCAGCCAGGTAAGTTGCAATGGGCGTTGCCCTCTGACACACTTCCGGTGATGTCAAGGGATGTGGCATATGCAAATAAGTTAGGCTAATGAGTTATGCTAATGAGCTCCTCCACCTCTTTTTCTACGAAATGACCCCTGGCTGTACCAACAATCTCTGCTCTCACCTGAGGGTGGGGGGCAGCATGGTAGTCTCTCATGAGCTCCTGCGAGTAGAGCGATGGTATTGGCCGGAAGGGGTTGAGAGCCACCAGGCTGCAACCGGCGTTAGTGTAAAAAACGTTGATGGCGTATCTTGCATGCAAGCACTTCAAGACTGGAGGGAAAAAAAACAGAATGTTTCAGCAACAGTTCCTATGCTTTTTTTAAAAAAAATTCCAATCTCTCCCATATGATAAGGGGAGGTACTGTGACAGCCTCCAATACCAAGGCCTCTCCTCATATTAGTTACATTAGCTACTTCCTAAGAGCCCTTTGCCAGTGTCTTGAACTAGGTGTTTGATGAGCTCTACCAAAACCCCACAGCCCCTCCTCTCCAGTGTGACCAGCAGTAGAGGCTCTGGCAAAACTCTCCCCTACTACACTGTTACTTTTTATTTATTTACTTACTAGATTTATTCTCCACCTTTCTCCCCAATGCCCCCCCCCCAAGCACTTACATCATTCTCTCCTCCACCATTTTATCCTCACAATAACCCTGTGAGGTAGGTTAGGCTGAATATGTGTGACTGGCTCAAGGTCACCAAGCAAGCTTGCAGGACACAGTGGGGATTTGTGTCTCCCAGACCCTAGTCTGGCACTCTAACCACTACACCCACCACACTGAGATGCTCACCACTGGAAACAAGCAACAGTTTCCTTAAGGCCCTCTTCTTCAGTGTGACTTTGCCTCTGCCTTGGTGATGTATGAACTGTATAATAGGGGAAGGTGTTGTGGGTCAGCTGGGGCAAGAGTGAGGACTCCTCAGAAGAGGAGCCCTGTGTAGTCAGCTCTGAGTCAGCAGAAGCTGGCAAGCAGGCCAATTAGGCACCCTCCTGCGCGCGGGCTAAAGCCAGCAAACTGTTTCTAGGTGAAGCTGGAAACTGTCCGGCTCCCACGGCCGCCTGGAAAGGCAGACAACACACACTCCCACCTGCACATCGTTATAGATAAGTGTTCCAGCGCAAAGCATAGACAGGAATGCGAAAGCAATTTACACAGACTCTGACTGAGCATCCCAACACCCATGGCAGCATAGCTGACACTCTTGGATTCTCAGACCCTGCTGTATGGCCTGACCCTTGGACTAGACTCTTGACTCCATGCATAACCTTGGACTGGACCTGGACTATGTTGGTGCTCTTGCCTTACTTGCTCCACACTCTGACAGTGTGTGCTACACCATTCCTGGCTTGGCTTGCAACAAAAGGGCTCTGCCAAAAGCCTCTGCTTCTGATCACACAGGACAGAAGGAGCCTAAAGGGCCCTTTGCTTGTGTATAGAAATGAGCCACTGATCTGCATAAAATGGAAGGGCTTGGCCAAAGATTCTACTGCCGGTCACTTTGGAGAGGAGGAGAAGAGGAGCAGAGCCCTCCCACCCTATGGAGTTCAGATGCTTGCTTCAAGACTCTTTAAGCTCTTCCTCCTTGGTTCCACCAGGACTAGGGCTCTTTGCCTGTGTTCTGGTGAGCCCTTGAAAACAACACAATTATGGAAGAACTCTGCCAAAGGCCTCCATTGTCAATCACAATAAAGAACCCTTTGCCCACATCCTGGTTCATGCAGAAGTGAGTCAGTAGGTGGCGCCAACACTGCCCTTTCAACTCCTATTCAATTCAGAACATGGCTCCTGTCGAAGGATCAGGTAGTAACCAGTGCCCAAGTATATCAAGAGCATGCTTAAATCTTATTCTTTTTTAAAAAGACAGCCAAACAAGTTTTAATTAATCTGTGCCAAGGCCCAGTCCTGGAATATTTAATACAATAAAAAGAAGCCCCAAAAGCAAGCGACTTCAGGAAAAGAGAAACGTGACCAGCTCTTGGAAGGACCTTCAATGTCACATTCAAATATCTCACTGTTCTTCCAGGCCATACCTGTGGCTGTGGCCACAGGGTTCACTTTGGTTAGGTCATCGAAGCTGTGCAGGGGGCCAGCATCACTCAGGAAAGACTCCACTTCCTCCCCAAGATGATTGCCAACACCATTTCCATCGGTCAGATGGCTCTTTGTGCCATTCACCTGGAAAACCGAGACAGAGAACGCCGCAAAAGGGACAAAATGCAAGATCAGAGCTTTTCACGGTTCTGTAAAAGTGCAACACTTACACTGCAGTGTATAACAGACCAGCGGCTTGTAAACTTTTATATACAAGTAACAATGAAGAACAAGACAAGACTCACTGGATGAGACAATGACACTAGGAGAAGTTGAAGGCAGCAGGAAAAGAGGAAGACCCAACACGAGACAGATGGGCTCCATCAAGGGAGCCACAAAGGCCCTCAGTTTGCAAGACCTGAGCAAGGCTGTTAAGGACAGGATGTTTTGGAGGTCATTAATTCATAGGGGTCGCCATTAAGTTGGAAGCTGCTTAACACACACACACACACCAGTGAAAGTATGAATCAGGAAGCCTCTGGTCTGAATCTCGCTTCTGCTGGGTGGCCTTGGGCAAGCCTCACTCTCTGTTTCTGTGTCTCAGCACCCTCATACTGACCCAGCTTACAGGGCTGTTGTAAGGATGACTACAGGAGTCCTGGAATGGGAAGGAGCCTTCTAAGCCATCTAGCCCAACCCCCTGCTCTACGCAGGAAATCCAAAGCTTTTGAGCATCCTTGACAGAGGACTGTCCAACCTAGGTGAGGTCATGCTGTTGAACAGCTCTTGCCATTAGGAAGCTTCTGCGAATGCTGAAACCAGTGTCGACCCTAGCCCCCTCACCTAGACTTGCTTTCTGGAGCATCTTTTCCCTCTTGAGATAGGGCGATCGCATCCTTCCTCCATCTTCTCCTCTCCAAATTGGATACACCCAGTTCTTTCAGCCTCTTTCTCTTGGGGCTTGTCCTCCAGACCCTTGACCAACTTTGTTGGCCCTCTGTCAAACCTTCCTTTCTTAAAGGAGAAGATCTGTGAAACACTCTGAATATTTGAAAGCAGGACAAGGGTATTTCCTCCATGAGGGAGGGCATTAGAAAACGGCCTCTCCCTCTGCACTCTAACGCAGCTGTACTGTACGCTCTAATCAAAACACTGACTGTCTTAAGGCGGGTCGCCGTGTTGGTCTGGAGCAGCGGAACGAAGTTTGAGTCCAGTGGCACCTTTGAGACCAACAAAGTTTAATTCTGGGAATAAGCTTTTAGGAATTAAACTTTGTTGGTCTTAAAGGTGCCACTGGACTCAAACTTTACGTTAAGGGAAGAGTTGCTAGACAGCGGGTGGCAGACCACGTGAAAGTCTTCCACACAACGGCTGCTGCACTGGAGAGAAGCTGTGGCTCAACAGCCGAGCATCTGCTCGACGTTCAGAAGACCCCAGGTTCAATCCCCGGCATCCCCACTTAAAGGATCATGGGATGTGAAAGCCCCTCTCCCTGAGATTCTGGAAAGCCACTGCCAGTCAGCGGAGCACAAGAATGACCGGGAGAAACTGAGACCATTGGTCTAGCACAGTTTCATATACGTTCCTGTGTCCACAACTAGAGATGTAACATTTCCGGAATTTTTTTTTTAAAAAATGCTACATTAGCACTTCTTATTTCTTTTCCAGATTGAAAGTCATTCTGTTACTTTAGGAACATAAAATATGACTATGGACATTTTTACTTGGCATGAAATTATCACAACTAGCATATTAAAAATATAGTGTATCCAAACAAACAGAATACCCACCCACATGAAAAAACAAAACTGAAACCTTTTTCTTTTCATGTGACAAAAGGAAGAAATGCATCTTGTTCTTGCATTGGAGAGTTCAGTTTGTAACCTAGGACTCGCTTGTCCTCAGTGCACAGAAATTAGATCAATCTGATACCATACATATTTTTTAGAAATGATTTGGAAAATATTTGAACACCTTGTCTTAAAATATTTTATTCATCATGTTAAAATAAAATGTCCCATAATCCATTTTTTTTCTTTTCTTTTTTTCAGTTTTAACAATTTTTCAGAAAAAAACAAAAAAGGAAAAAAACGGGGGGGGGGGGGAGTTTTTTTCTGAATTTTTCCAGGTTTTTCCCGGGCCTTCACATCTCTTACCACAACATGCATTCAGGGCTGCTTCCCACATGGATGGATAGCCTTGCCAAGAGATTCATGCATTCATTCATTCATTCATTCATTCATTCATTCATTCATTCATTCGATTTATATCCCGCCCTCCCTGCCGAGGCAGGCTCCTCTTCTACATCCCCATTTTCATTTTTCATAAACATACCTGCTTCGGCATCCCCCCCCATGTCTTCTGGCGTTTTGAAGCTTGCCCAGGTGACTCCATTCCGCTCCACCATCAAAACACAGTCTCTCTGGCTGCAGTGTTCAGATTGCAGATCGTGCAAAGTAACCTGAAAGCCCTAAACAGAACAAAGAAGGTTACTCCCAAGTGGCTTTGGATGTGAGAAGTCGCCTGAGTAAGACAGGGTGTGTCTCGTCAGATCCAAGCAGCTGCCCCTGCCTCAACTTCCAGGTGGCTTATTTTGAAATCATACGGGGACTTCTTCACCAGGAAGATCTCTATACTGGCAGATAAGTATCTCTCAAACTCCACTTGAAGAACTGTAGAGCTAATTGCCACTTGGCAGTGCTTTGGGGCCTGCACTGGCTCCCGGGGTGTTCCCAGGGACAATTTTGTTCTCCAGACAAAGACACCCACTGAGATGATCTGCAGATACTCACAGCAGCAGAGGTTTGGTGGGTGGTCACAAGAGGCATGGCCTCCTCAGATGTGGCACTAAGACTATGGAACTCCTTCCCTACGGAGAGCCATCTCGCCCCTTCTTTAATAGCATCTTGTTTCCAGCTTAACGTGATGCTTTGTAAAAGAGCTTTTGAGGCCCACAAGTCGCCTTAGTGATTATCTGTCTTTCTGCATGTTCTCCTTCATTTTGTGAACATCTGGATTTTCCCTTACTCTTTGATCTTGGCCCTGAGCTGGATGGCCCCGGTTAGTCTGTTCTTGTCAGATCTGGGAAGCTAAGCAGGGTCGGCCCCGGTTAGGACGTGGGTGGGAAACTGCTGAGGAAGATTAGAGACCCCAACAACAGAGGCAGGCCGTGGCAAACCACCTCTGAGCATCTCCTTGCCTTGGAAACCGACGGGAACACCAGAAGTCAGCTGGGACTTGAGACCAGTGTTCCCTCTAAGGTGAGTGAGGGTGAGCCAGCTCACAGTTCTTTAGCCTCTGGCTCACGCATTTTTGTCTCAGCTCAGGGAGGATGGCGCCAGAGCAAACTAATTGATGCAGTAGCCAAATCGCTGACTCACAACTTTAATGCCAGCAGCTCACAAAGTAGAATTTTTGCTCACAGGACTCCACAGCTTAGAGGGAGCATTGCTTGAGACCACTTTATACACCCACCCACACACACACACAATCCAGTTTCTGTTGGATTGTGGTTCTTTCTGCTGGATCTCCCCTGCTGTTCATATTTTTGCAAATGTTTATCATTTTGGGATTGAATCTTTTTAGAAGAAGAAGAAGAGAAGAAAAGATTGGACTTATACTCCCCCCTTCACTAAGAGCGGCTTACAAACTCCTTTCCCTTCCCCCTCCCCACAACAGGCACCCCATGGGGTAGGTGGGGCTGAGAGCGCTCTTGAGAGAACAGCTCTGACAGAACTATGTCTTGCCCAAGGTCACCCAGCAGCTGCAAGTGGAGGAGTGGGGAATCAAACCCGGTTCTCCCAGATTTAACCACAACATCAAACTGGCTCTTGGTTTGGTTGGCCACTGTGGGCTACTGTGAAAGGTGGGGAATCTTTACTTTAAAAAATATAAGCAAGCAGACTCACCTGCCACTGTTAACAGGTAGGGGTGCATCTGGAGGATTCGTGTATTGGTGTGGAAGATTCCTACCCCCTTCTTCTCTCAGACAGGTTTAAAAAGCACTTGCAATAAATAATGCAAAAGAAAGAATCTCCGATCTAAATGGATTCTTCCGAGCGTCTCTTTGCTGGCAGAACTTTAAGCAATTTTTCAAGGTGATGCCGCCACCGGCTTCATCTGCTTTGGCCTGAATGGCCTCCGGGGACTCAGAAGCTGGTCTAACCAGTTTCTGCTGCGGTGATTTGCTAAGTATCACAAAAGTGATTAGGACTCCCTTGCTGTTAGTAATCACTCCAGGACAAGTGTGGGGAGCAAAGGATGTCAAAAGCACCCCAAATGGGTCTTTCCATTCGCAAACCCTTCCCATTCCAACCCTCCCCCCAAGATCGGTGGTATCCTGGCTAGCCAGGGTCATATAAAAAAGGCTGGGCACTGTTCCCCCTCTCTCTCCCCATCACCCTTTCATCTTGCCATTCCTCCACTGTACTGAGGGCTGCTGACCCATTTCTTCCCTCTTCCGTGCTGCCTTTACAGTAACTCCGCGAGGTTGGCTGGGCTGAGGGCGACTGGCCTGAGGTCACCCTTGAGCTGAGTAAGGATTTGAACCCTGCTCTCTCTGGGCCTAGTCCAACACATCATGCGACTATTTCCCCAACACAGTCTCCAAACTGAGTACTTTCCCTTTCCTGATAGGAGTGGACTGCAACTGTTCACTTACAGGTGAGTTAGTCTTAGGCATCACTGGGGCATGATTTGTGTTCAGTCTCCTGGTCACTTCAGCTGTTGAGAGTCAACCCTCCTCCAACTGGTCCCCTGCCTGGCCAGGTTCTGTGCCCAGGTCTACACCAGTGCTCCCTCTAAGCTGTGGAGTCCTGTAAGCAAAAAATCTACTTTGTGAGCTACCGGCATTAAAGTTGTGAGTGAGCAGTTTGGCTACTGCATGAATTCGTTTCCTCTGGAGCCATCCTTCCTGAACGAAGACAAAAATGCATGAGCCTGAGGTGAAAAAACTGTGAGCTAGCTCACAGTAACTCAGCTTAGAGGGAACACTGATCTACACCCGTTTAATTGGCATAGTTTTATCCTGCAAGTCAAGTGTTGGGGCAAGAAACTGCAGGGCACAGAATCCTGTTTCCCTGGAAACCTTATTTGTCCACCCACTGGCTTCAGAGACACAAGGGTATTCAAGCCCATCTTCACAAACACCAGAACTAGGGATATCCTTTTTGATTTTCACCGAAAGCAAAGAGATTCTCGAGATGCTGAATCTTCTGCCTTGGTGTCTTCATCCTTCAGCTGCGCTTCCACACAAGCTGGTTTGGTATAGTGGTTAAGTGCATGGACTCTAATCTGGGAGAATCGGGTTTGATTTCCCCACTCCTCCACTTGCAGCTGCTGGATGACCTTGGGCAAGCCATAAGTTCTGTCAGAGCTGTTCTCTCAAGGGCAGTTCTGGAAAGAGCTCTCTCAGCCCCACCTACCTCACAGGGTGTCTGTTGTGGGGAGGGAAAGGGATGGGAGTTTGTAAGCCACTCTGAGACTCCAAGTGAAGGGCAGAGTATAAATCCAATCTCCTTCTCCTCCTCTTTAACATGCTGGGTGAGTTTGCTGTTCCATTATTATGAATGGGTCTCTTCCTATCCCTTTGACTCTGGATGGGAAGAGGAGTTGAGGAGGACACGAAAGAAGCCTTTTCAGTGCAATCCTGAGTAGAGCTACTCTCTTCTCAGTCCTCTGAAGTCAATCGGCTCAGAAGGGTGTGATTCTGCTTACAGATGTTTCCTGAACAGGCCCTTCCCCTGCAGGGCTGAAGTCTGGGAAAGGCCCCTCTGGGCATACGCTGTGGGTCAGGATCCCCTCTTTGCCTCCATTCCACTCTGCTTGCGAATTTATAAACAAAGCAAATGTTATGACGGCCCCCATAAGTTTGCAGGGTGCTCTGCCCAAAGCAAAGCGTTTCTATGCTGCCTTTCGGCTCAACTCAGGGCCCCCAAAGTGGCAAACATTAAACCACGACAAGCATTAAAAAGAGCATTTAAAATACAAAAATGGATGAATTATTGAAAACAATTAAACGAAACCAAGCCAAGGAGAAGGGCTAATAATAGTGAGGAAGTGCCAAACCAAACAAGAGTCTTGCCTGCTGGCAGAAAACTCCAGGAGACAGATGAATCTGCCTAGGAAGGGAATTCCATCGTTTTGGAGCCATGACTGAAAAGGCCTTTTCTCAGGCTGCCACTCATCTAGCCTGAGATGCCAGGGGCACCTGAAACAGAGCCTCCAAACGTGACCGGGGAGGTCAGTTAGGTTCATATGGGAGAAGGTGGTTCTTTAGGTATGGTGGCCCCAAGCTGTACAGGGCTTCAAAGGTCAGTGCCAGCACCCTGAACCAGGCCTGGAAGCAAACTGGGAGACACTGAAGGTGGAACAAGACTGGAGTGAGACGGTCCCGGAGATCCACTCCTGTCAATATTCTCGATGCAGCACTCTGTACCAACTGTAGCTTCTGGACAGTCTCCAAAGGCAGCCCCAAGTGGAGCATGTTGCAGTGATCTAATAATTGCTATCAGGCCATGCACCACAGTGGCAAGATTTTTTTTTCGGCACAGGAAGAGCAGCAGCTGGCTCACCAGCTCCGGCTGGTGAAAGATGCCCCTGGCCCCCAGTGACAACTGTTTATCCAACAGGAGACTAGCTTTGTTGGGATTAAGGCCCATTATGCACAAGTGTCTTCCCTTGCTTTCACTGTGCATGTCTGTGGGGTTTTCTTTGTCATTTTGCATTGCTTTTCCTCTCTTCAATGCTTAGTTCGCTTTCTGGTTGCTGTTTCCCTGGGTTTTCTGAGAGTACATTTGTGCTGATTTCCCCCTTGTTTCACTTTCAAGGCGAAGGTAATTCAAAAGTGTACAGTTTGCCTCGAATTCCCCCCACCCTTTTGCTGCCCCTTGAAGGTCACACCCTGCCCACATAAAGGTTATTCTGCCAACTCTGCACCTTCTACATTCCTACCCCCTTTATTGGTGTACAAGCTCCATTTCTCCCTCATTGTAAATTTTAAAAAATTTTTTACAAGTGGCATGTGTCTAGCGATATGAGACCACTGCTAGTCTCGGATTGTTGAATAAAAAAATACACGGGGAAAGTTTAAAAGGAGCTGCATGAGGTTTAGTTCCCTGCTGGTATTGACTTGAAAGGAAGATCGAAGAGGAGGCAAATGGCAGCATTCTCACTGCAAAAAAAAAAGGGGGGGGATTTAAGTGTTGCATGCAAACAAAAATCAGTGTGGGATGAAATTGACATGAAATGTAAAGAGAAAGACATGCGGATGGGAAGCCTAAAGCTCTGAAAATATTTTCCCCTTTCATGCTTTAGTGAACAAAGTTTGTTTTTTTTGGGGGGAGGGAGCCATTTTGGCAGTCTCTGGAAGCCTAGCATTAAAATGGTGGCTGAACCACATGGACTTTCTGCAAACCACTGAACTTAAGAATCGCTTGGAATCAATCCATTTGGATGAAGAGTGCAATCCAC